ATACACAGATAAAAATGTATGGAATCTACAATATTGTATATATACCACATTGTGAAATCTAGAGAATAGCCAATAGAACATCATGAAATCTAAAATGATGAAATATGCTACATTGTGAAATCTAAAATAGGGCCTTGACAACTTTATAGAATTAAGAACACAATAATATCTATGCACTATACAATTGTATACAACATTGTGAAATCTAGAATACACTGATAAAACAATTATTAAATCAACAATATTGTCAATACAAAATAATGAATCTAGAATTCATTGGCAATAAAATTTCAGAAGCTTAGCAAAAGAAAATCATAAAATCTAGACTCCAACAAATATTAACAGATCAGAAAAGATGTCAGAGAAAAATACCTGGGCAGTTCCAGAATTAAAATCATATTGATTAAGATCATCACTAAGACTACTCTCTTCTATATTCTGGGTAGATATATTATAGGAAGAAAATAGAGATTCTTCTTCTTCTCCTTGTCTGGTCTCTTTAACTTCATTTCTTATTGATACAAATCTTTTCTTTCTTTCTAATGGTGACTACAAAATACAAATTTACAATATATACCTTTTGTGTTGTTTTTTTCAAATGGTGGCTACAAAATACAAATTCACAAAAGACTGATTTTTCATTCAAATCTCTTTTCCTTAAAATTGTTACAACAAATGAAAATTTTTACCTTACACTTTCAAAAATGTTACTCAATTTACTAAATGGTGTTAATGGGCATGGTTAAGCTACAGGAACACAAGATACCACTTTGCATCTCAGTTTCATGGATCTCAAACTGAAATGTCATGTCCAAGGCCTTATTATCCTGAACTCATGAAATGTAAGGAGACCACGGTGTATTAGTGAAATATTGACCTAAAGGTCTATACTCACATCTAATTCAGCTTTAAATTCAAACATCTTCTCACAATCTAATATATTATCTAATAGAAACTGGCCCTTTAATAATATATAAGATGTGTGCGTTACACAATACATAGTGCTAAGTCAGATTTCCAAATACATGT